CAGCATCAGCAGCAGAGGCAAACGCGGGAGCAGCAGGAGTGGCAGGTGGGGCAACAGCAGGAGAGGTAGACAGGGAAGCCGCAGGAGAGGGAGACGAGGCAGCAGCAGATGTGGCAGGCGGGGCAACATATGAAGGTGATGCACCAAAGAGCAGCGAAGGGCATAACCATCTGCGTGCCCTACTGGTTCTGTGGCCGCATGGTTGATGCCATTCCTCTTCCACGGGTTCCTCCTCTCTAGCATTCCCTACCCCCCCTTCCCCTCCTCTATCCTCCTCAGCCGAATTCTTGTTGCTCTTCCTCTCAACCTGCTGCATCCTTTTCTGCTCTTGAGCACTTACAAATGAAGCAGCAGTTGGCGTTGCAGTAACTATTGAATCAGCGGAAGAAGATACAGCAGCAGCAAGACGGGTAACAGCGGCGGCGGCAGCAGCAGCAGCAGCAGCAGCAGCAGCAGCAGCATCAACGTCAGCAGCAACAGTAGCAGCAGCAGGGGCTGCAGCAGCAAAACTAGGAGCAGCAGTAGCAGGGGCTGCAGCAGCAAAGCCTGTAGCAGCGGCAGCACCATGGGCTGGAGCTGCGAGTCCGGAGGCATTCGCTGCAGCAGCTGCAACGACAAAATCGGAAGCAGCCGGGGCAGGCGCTGCAGTGGCAACAGCATCAGCAACAGCATCACCATCATCACTAGTTGCAGCGCCATGAGCAATTTCTGCTGCGGAATCAGTGGCAGCATTACCAGCAGACTCAGCAACAGCAGCAGCAGCAGCAGCAGCAGCAGCAGCAGCAGCAGCAGCAGCAGCAGCAGCAACACCACCACTACCACCATCAGAAACACTAACAACGACATCATCAACAGAAATGGCAGAAGCGTCGTCAGAAATGACAATAGGGGAGTCGGCATGACCACTTGCCGGAACAGATGCAGCAGCACCAGTGGCACCACCACCAGTAGCACCACCACCAGCAGCAGCTGCACCACCACCACCACCACCAGCAGCAGCACCACCAGCAGCAGCAGCAGCAGCAGCAGCAGCAGCAGCAGCAGCAGCAGCAGCAGCAGCAGCAGCAGCTACACCACCACCACCACCACCACCACCACCAGCAGCAGCAGCAGCAGCAGGGGCCCAGACCAGGAGTACGGGACATTCACCCGCCAATCCTCCCAACCCCAACCACACACCACCACTGTGTCTTCCCCCACCTGGACCTCCCTCCGCTCTACCCCTTCAATCGGAAACGGCTGTCGAAGCGAAGCCACGTGCTGCTCCAGAAGCTCTGGCAGCAGGCGAAGGGGATTAACTCTAACACAAAGGGCGGAGATCGGGCAACGCACACTCGCCCAATGCAGCCGGCTCTCCCGGCCGTCATCCGCAACAGAGCGAGCAGGATCAATGAAACTGGTGCTGATCTCCATAACTCCAGCGTCAGAGAACACGCCCACTCTGCTGCTGGTCCCGCCCCTGTTGTTTCTGTCGCTGCCGACATCAACGCAAGGAGAGGCTGCTGCTGCTGCTGCTGCACCTGCTGCAGACGATGTGGTTACAGTTGGCAATGGTCCAGGTTCATTGTTACAAGAGGCAGGATGGGCTGTGTCGTTGGAGGGGGGTCGGGTGAAGCAGTGGCGGAAGAGCCGCACACGGAAGGTGCAGCGGCAGCTTTCCTCCCCTGTTCGTAGGACTCTGTGGCGCCGACGATCTATTGACACGACTCTTCCATCGTAGTGTGCCTGTGGAGGGGAAGGAACAGCAAGAAGACACATACAATTGCGCATCAGAATCCATCCTCCTCAACCCGTTGGACCTTGCGGTTCCGATGCCTGATTGGTACGACTCTTCCATACAGATTGTGCCTGTGGACGGGGAGGGAAGGGAACAACATGAAGACACACACAGTCGTGCCAAACATGTTATGAAACGACTAATTTGGATGCCTGATTGGTACGACTCCTCAGCCACTGGGTTCACTTTCAGCTTCGAGTGCAACAACCTAACTATGTCTCCAAATGTATTACTACTAATTTGTGCATCAAAACTATAAGACCTTGTGCAAGATGCAACTGAAGTGCATGGCAAGGTACGTCAAAAACGGTCATGACACTACGTGGCTGACACGCTACCTCCAATGTCTCAAATGATGTATCGCATTTTTACTTACCGGTTCTATTCTATTTTTTGCCAATGGATTATTGGCTGCATTGTTGGTCTAAACAATCATAGTTCAACTCCCCAGCAAGAGACACAAATCCTCACAGAATGGTAGACCAGTAGATTAGAGCTGCACCTCAGCACATTCTTCAAGCAATCATCTCACCTCGCCACAAACGGTCGCATCCCCTGCAGGTTGCTTCACGAAAGCAACTACGCCAGTGCCCTCCTTGATCAAGTGACAGTCACTGGAATCAAGAGTGCGAGAGGCCAGCCGGAGCCGGGCCCGCACCACCACTTCCCGTTCCTCCGGATTTTCATAGGAGACAGAGTAAGGCTGCAGGCTCCCATCCCCCGCGTTTTGGTTCCATTGTGAAACACTTTCAGGTTTGCCAACAACATGACACGCCCATATACTGCTAGTATGGAAGCACTCAAAACCTGCTTTAGGGTGCAGAACAAGAAATGCAAAAGGATGAAAATAACAAAGCACACAGGGTAAAGGTGACCACAAGGTCTCAGGTTCATTCAAACGACATGGAACAACACTGGTTGGCATTGGGCACTATTTAATCAAAAATGAAAACCCACCTGGTCTGTTTTCAAGGTTGTCTGCTGTTTGGGGCATGGCTGCTTGTCTTCAGGCTTTCCTATGGTTGTCTTTGGTGTTGCAACAAAATGCACAGCAGGTCTGCCAGGGAGGTGAGGAGTGTGACAAAACATGACAACATGAGAAGCCAGAAACATGGTTGTGAGGGTTGAGCAAAGTAACAAACTGCAAATATAAAACAGCAAACCGGTTCAGTTTGACTTGGGGTGCCGCATGAGACCTCGGCTAGAGCGTTTGGCGGAAGTGGCTTTCACGGCCAGATCCGTGGGTATCAGGGATTTCGTGCTGAATTTTGCACAGATCTGGGATTGGCGCTCAGATTTGCACAGATCTGGGATTGGCGCTCAGATTCGCACAGATCTAGGATTGGCACTTAGATTTGCACAGATCTGGGATTGACGCTCCGATTTGCACAGATCTGGGATTGGCGCCCAGATTTGCACAGATCTGGGATTGGCGCTCAGATTCGCACAAATCTGGGATTGGCGCTCAGATTTGCACAGATCTGGGATTGGCGCTCAGATTTGCACAGATCTGAGATTGGCGCTCAGATTTGCACAGATCTGGGATTGGCTCTCAGGCCAACTATGCTGCTGGCCAAAGAAGAGATGCAAAAACATTGACTTTATTAAAGGAAACTCCAAACATGGTGAGTGGTACGTTTCACAAATGGTAGAAGAATGCTAAGATGACTAACATGTCCCAAGAATCCCGTTAGTGGATCAACAGCAAAGATGCAACAATTTTAAAAAAAACCGCTTGAATGTTTGTGACGAAGCAAAAATGTAATGTCTGCGGGCTTACACGAAGGGTTAAAAAACAACCGTTTCTGAACAACATCCGTTTTGGCCCAATGGTCTAGCACGCGTTATTAAGATCCAAACTACCAACACAACTCCTCTGTTGGAACTATAACGTCCCATGCCTTGGACCACTGAGTCAAAACGGATGTTATTCAGAGACGAAACGATTGCTTTTTAACCCTTCGTGAAAGCTCACAACCATTACATTTTTTTTTTTGTGATTCTTCCTGTCTTCCTTCCATGGCTCCCACGAACATTATGATTTTATCTAACATGCAGAGTTGGTAAGATATAAGGAACTCACCGTGGAAGAAAGAATTGACTGCACGGAGAAAGGAAGGCGTTATCTTGCTCGTGAAACTTAGAGACTAGACTCTCGCTAACGTGCCGTAAGTCTAGGGGTTTAGAGCTACACTTTCCATACAAACGACTCGTATGAGATCTAAAACACGTACGCACCTCGCAATGGATACGAGAAGGCTCCACTACCATTTCGCATCTTGACTCTCCTTTGGCGTGGAAAAAACTCATCTTCGCGCGAATCGCGAGACGAGATCGGCCTTGGTTCAAGACGGTCGGACGAGATTTAGCTATTGGGGCGTGCCACGTGTTGCTCTGCATGCTTGAGTGTTCGTATCGCACCTGGCGTGCTTCAACCAAGGAGGGATTCTGCGGATGATCTCTCTAATTGACAATTACGAGTGGGTAGTAGAATGCATTGCGCTGGAACTTCTAAGGGCGGGTCAGGTGGCGTTCGTTTTCATAAAGTTTACAATACAGTTACCTGATTTTTGTCTGTAACCGAATTGTTAACGCTTTCATCGACCTTGGACGCGAAACGAGCGGAGACTCGGTTCGGATACTAGAACGGCCCAATTGCTTTGAAAATACGACTTCAGGTACATCGCAGATCCGTGAGGCAGATCAAAAGCGAAGCTGTGAGTAACTCGCCGTTTTCGCCCAACTTGCTTCTTAATGAACATCGTTGTTTTCGCCCACACAACAAATAGAGTGCCCAAGAAACACTCACCTTCGCGAGTGAACCAACTGTGCGGGTGGCGCGTGGGCTGGTTACTTGGTTCAGAAAGGGGCTGGTTGTGTGCACGAACTGAATTTTGTGAGTACGCTGGTCCACCCATGACTAATTTGACATGAACTGACTCGAAATCAGCCAAATTTACGAGAAAACAAAACCGAAAATGAACGCTACCTGTCCCGCCCTGGTTGCGTCTTTCCGAGTGAGATTTACTAACAGCACTCTTCCACTCGCCATGCTATAGCAGGACGGTGATGGCGGAATAAACTGTTTCACAGGCATAGATTGACATTGGACGGCCGACCGATATCAAATTATACGATGAGTCTCGGCAGATGGACCGCGAGATATGTAAGTTGCGCGCACATTGTGACTCGATTTTATTAGAAATGGGGGGGCGTGGGGGTGATGAAGCTCGTACAGGAGCACTATCTAAGGGAGGATATCAAGTGCGGGTCTGCGTTGTGCTACGCGTGCTACACGCACCTCCCCCGCCATGACCCGCTGTTCTCCGGGGACGTGCTTCCCAGCCAGCTGCTCCCCCGAGAGCTGCTCTGGCAATTTCCGGAGGAGGGCTTGCTGCTTCAGGATGAGGCTGACCGGCCTTCCTTGTCTGCTAGCACAAAGCTCTACGTGGTGAGTGAAGGAGCGAGGGAGTGGGTGGGGATTGAGGGAGGGAGTGGGTAAGTGAATGCGGGACGGAATGGGTGAGTGAATGAGGGAGGGAGTGGATGAGTGAATGAGGATTGAACGTGTGTTTGAGGGAGGGAATGATTAAAATTGTAGATGAGTGAGTGAGTGAGTGGACGAGTTTACACGAGAATCATCCTTCCTTGATTCATCTTTGTCGCGGTGAGTGAGTGTGGCTATTTCTCTCCGCAAGTTGTCTTCCAGTGCTCCCCCCCGCGGTCCCTCCCTTGTCCCTCATCGTTGCCTTTCGTCCTCCATTTCTCCTCCTTCACCTTCTCTCCCCCTGCCTCCTTCACGTCTCGCTCTCCCCTTTTCCCTCCTCCCGCCTTACACTTGAAGGGGAAGGAAGAGAAGTGGAGAAAGAGAGGCGATGATGAGGGACAAGGGAGAGACCGCGGGGAGCATTGGAAGACAACTTGCGGCAAAGAGATAGCCTCACTCACTCACTTTCACTCCGTGCATCTCCAACTGTTGCGACCACTTACTGTTGTTGTTGGCTTCCGTGCCTCTCCCACTTTCCACTCCCCCCCCCTTCCGTCCTCTCCCTCCTCCCTACTCTCTCCCCTCTCGCTTTCTTCCCTCCTCCCTACTCTCCCCACTCCCGGACTCTCCCCACCTCTTCCCACCTCTCCCCCCCTCTCGCCCTCTCCCCCCATCCCCTCCCCCCCCCCCTCCTTCGCCCCTCTCTCCCCGCAGATGCCCGATGCAGCCTCACTGGTCGAATTCATGGAGGTGTGGGAGCTGCCTCCCATTCGCCACACCATTGTGCTGGGCTCCGTGCTCAAGGAGGTGGGGGAAGGAGAGGCTATTTGTGGGAGGCAGGAGAGATGGGGGGGGTGGGGATAATGGTAGGGCGGATGAGCACACTATCCCATCGTGCTGGGCTCCGTGCTCAAGGAGGTGCGCACAGGAGAGGTTCTTGAGTTGGAGTGGGAGGGGAAGTGAGGGGAAGGTGGATGGGTGAGTGGGTCGGTGGGTGGGCGCTGGGCTGTGTGTATAAGGAGATGCGTGTGTGGCAAGAGAGGGTTTTCGGAAGTGCGGAAGGGGGGGAATGGTTGAGGGAGTGGGCGGGTAGGAGGTAGCATGAGTTGGAATGACATGGAATGAAAGTTCTTTCGATCCCCCTCTGTCCCATCCCCCCTCTCTCCTCCTAACCTGTCCTCCTCCCATCTTCTCGCTATACCACTTTCCACCTCCTTCATCCTCCATCTCCTCTCCCCTCTCACCTCTCCCCTCTTCCCACTCCCCTCTCCCTCTCCCCTCTCCCCTCTCCCCTCTCCCCTCCCGCCCACCCTATCCTTTCGCCTCCATTCGTCTTCCATCTACAGGTGCTTCACTTCTCCAGCGCCCACCATGCCGGCCGTATCCGGTCCGTTCCTCCCACACCCACACCATGCCGCCCCTGCCGCCGTCCTTGTTGCCGCCCTTACTGCCGTCCTTGCTGTCCCATTCTCCTATTTGATGCCCCACTCCTTGGCCGTACCTCCCTCCCATGGTCGCATCGCTTATTGTATTCTGGCCTGCACTCAACTACCAATCCTGTTTCAGGTTCTTCTTGAAAATGTATTTGGCCCTGGCCCTGGCCCTTGCCCCCTCGCCCGTCATCTCTCACCCCTTGCCTTTTTCAGTTCGCTGCATCCACTGGCTTCAACCGACTTGAGATCACCTGCAAGATGTTCCTTTCTCTCGTTCCCTCTCCCCCATCACACAGTGCTCTGTGTGAGGATGGTCAGCAAGAGAGGTCACCTACCAAGCATTTCTGACCCTTGCCTCCCGCCTGTTTATCTGACAACTCCCGCCCACCACTTTCCCCTCCTTCAACCCACCAGAGTGCCTTGTGTGAAGATGGGAGGCGGGAGAGCTCCTTCACCCACCTCGTGGCGCCCTCCTCTCCCTCGCCCCAATCCGCTGTGCCTCCGCCCCTCCTCTTCCGCACCCCATTTCAGTGCTCTGTGTGAGGACGGGCGGGAGAGCTCCGTTTTTTATAACCGGAACTTGCTCTTCACCTACCTTATGCCACCTTAAAGCCTTGGCTCACAATAGCCTCCTGCCTGACTATTTACCTGACAACACCCGCCCCTTTCCTCCCCCATGCCCCATCCCAGTGCTCTGTGCGAGGACGGGCGGAGGGAGAGCTCTTTCTTTGACGACCGGCACTTCCTCTTCACGCACACCATGGCGGAGGAGAGGCGGGCAAGCCTGAGGGTGACACTCGGTGATGCTGCTTCCGCTGAAGGTGAGTGTGTGTGTGAGTGCAAATGAGAGGGGCGCTAACATTCCTTTACACCCACACCATGGTAGAGGAGAGGCGGGCTAGTTTGAGGGTGACACTTGGTGATGCTGCTTCCGCTGAAGGTGGGTGGGTGGGTATTTGAGTTGAGTGTGTGCCAGTCACCTCGTGACAAGGAAGGAACCTTCACTGGTTCGTCGCTGGTGGGCTGAAGAAAGACGCTTGGTGAGGTTGTGCCGGCTGAAATTGTGTGTGATGGACGCATGTGTACGTGTGTGTGTGGGTATGTGTGGTGTCCACAATATTCCCTCATGCCGCCGAACCTGCGTTCGCATGCTCTTTACCATTCATTCATCTCACATCGAGCTGATATGCTTCTCATTTCCTCCTGTAGGTTGACTTATACATCACCAATTCATCAGCCTTGCATCTCACATCAAGAGCGAGTGTGTGCTTCGTCTTCCCCCCTCCCCTCTTACTCTCTCTCTCACCGCCCCAGTGGATCTGTGTCACGTGGTGGCGGCAGCACAATGGTTCTCAACCCATCTCCACCGCGCCATACCCATCATTATCGTGTTGGACGAGTTGGCAGCAGCACGTGGCAGCATGCCACTGGGCGAGGTGCTGCAAGCCGTGCAGCGCAACGAAGTGGTGGTACGTGCATGCGTGCGCATGATTGGCCCCACCTGATGGTGGTCCGTGCATGCCATTGGGAGAGGTGCTGCAGGCTGTGCAGCGCGACGAGGTGGTGGTACGTGTGGTGTGGGCTCTTGATTGGTTCCCCAACTGAGTGTGGTGCATGCCTGAATTGGCTATTGATTCTTTGTCATGGATTGTCACAGCCTTGATTGGCGGTGCATGTATGCTGCTGATTGGTTGTGATGCGTGGTTTTAATGGTTCTACCATGTGTGCTGCACCATCAGCCAGGTGGTTTCTGATGCTCATGTGCTGTCTGATCATGTCGTGAGTGGTACGTAATAGCGCATCAACAGAGTAGCAGGAGTAGTTCGTTCTACTGCCGCCCTATGCGATCTGCCGCAAGCAGTTCCACTTATTGGAAGAGAATCTCTGAGCAGTGTACTCTTTTGTGCCTTGCAATCCTTAGTGGTCAGTTTTGAGACGTTTCAAGATAATCTGCACTGATATGAGTCAGACAGACGAGAACGGCTTATTGTCTCACTTACTGCGACGTCAACCTTTTTTTGTCCTTCATCCTTCCAGTTCTTCTTTTCTAAGTTTCTATGCATCTCCTCCGCGAAGCTTGTCGTCCTCTGTTTACCATATCCCCCGCTGGTGCCACAGGTGATGACAACAGAGGCGTTCTTTCAGACCTACTACGGCCACTGCCCCACTGTCACCACGCTTATGGACTCTCTCGTGAGCGCACCCAACCATCTTCCTCTACCGTACCTGTTAAGCACACGTGTTACTTAGAGCGTACAGCCACTGCTGCCCCACTGTCACCACGTTCATGGACGCTCTAGTGAGCACGCTGCACACCCAACCCTCTACCTGATAACCACACACGTTAACCAAGTTCCTGTCTTGCATTTATTCTTTGTTTCAAGTTTTGTTTTGCATTGTTCCTCTACTATAGTTTCAGGCTTCTGATTCACTCTGATGAAGGCTTTCATTTCTTTTCAGTTACCACCACCGTACTCCTTTGTTGACCAGTCCCCATCCGCATCCCCAACCCGAGCCCAACCCTATTCCAACACCATTCCCATGCCATGTTCTTAGCATGGGCATCGACCATTCTCTATGCTTCAACTGCTGGTCATGGCTCCGGCTCCCCACCAACATTCCCATCCGTGCTTACCCTTCTCACCCCATGTTCTCATCCTCCTCCCTCCCCACCAGGTCACCCAGCACAGCATGACCCATCCCCTTTCATATTCTTAGCATGTGCATTTACCATCCTCAGTGCTTCACCGCCAACATGCCCGTGCTGTGCTCCCTTTCTCCTGCCCCGCCACCATCATCACTTTGCCCTCGTCGTCCTCTCTCCCCACCAGGCCACCCAGCATGCTCTGCGCCTCTCCTCGTCCTTCAAATCCACGTCTGGCGGCGGCAGGCTCGGTGGCAGTAGGCTCGGAAGCGGCAGGCTCGGCAGCGGGAAGCAGCGGAAGGAGGTGTTCACACCGCACCTGTCAAGTGAGTTGAGAGAGCGGGTAGCCTTGTCTACAAGAGTTCTCAAAGAAAGAGAGCTATGTGTTTAGCAATGGTGGGTTTTGAGACGTCTCAAAACTCGAGAGAGCGGGTAGCCTTGTCTACAAGAGTTCTCAAAGAAAGAGAGCTAGGTGTTTGGCAATGGCGGAGGAGGCGTGTGGCAAGAAGTGCTTGTGGAAAGAAGAGTGGCAAAGAGTGGTTGCTTACAAGGCCATGACATGCCTTGAGATTGCAGTGCTTTACGCGTTCATGTTCGTACCGTACTGTCTACTTGCCGTTGCCATAACCCATTTCCTATCCATCTGTACGACGATCGCGGATTTGTTTATGCATGGTGCCAATCCTCCAACGTCCAGGCACAGCAGTGGCGGAGGGGGTGGCAGTGGGGGCTATCCGTGTGGGAGTGCTGCATATCACAACCACTGAGCCGTTCAAAGCCACCGTCAAACGCAGGTGAGGGAAGAGTGCTGTTGACTGGCGTTGACTGTCGTTGACTTGCTTTTCCTCCTGGCTTTCTGTCGCTCCTCGTTTTCAGCCAATTCGTCGTCTTCTTCATGTCTTCCCTTCCTACCCATTACTTTGTCTGAGCCAGTCACAAGCGGGTACGCTCCCCTTAGCGAAATTACCATACTCACATGTTAGGCGCCTTCAAAACCACACCCCTTCTCTGTTTTCCCATCCCCGCTGCCCCCATCCCTCTCTTCCAGTCGCAAGCAGGTGCACGCCCCCCACAGCGACATCACCATCCCCACATGGCGCCACCTCCACCGCACTCTGCCATTCTACCCCATGCCCCCTGCCTATTCCATGCCCCCAACCCCCATCCTTCCCTTCCAGTCGCAAGCAGGTGCACGCTCCCCAGAGCGACATAACCATCCTCTCATGGCGCCACCTCAACCGCGCTCTCCCGGGCGACACCGTGGCAGTCAGGCTGCTGGGCAAACGCCGGGTGGGGGGTGGGCAGATGGGAGGAGGGCACATGGGGGCCGGGCACATGGGGGGAGGAGGCGTGGGGAAGGGGGATGAGAGGAGGGGATGTGGGGAGAGTGAGAAAGCAGGGGACGGGATGAGGGGGGGGGAGGAGGGTGTGGTGGGCGTGAGGAGGTACGACGGTGGGTGGAGTGAGGGAATGGAAGGCGGAGGTGGGGTTGGGGGTGGCGGTTGGAATGGCGGCGGCGTTGCTGCTGCCGCGTCTGACGTGCATCTCCCCCCGGCCTCTAAAGCCTGGGATGAGGCGCCTCCTCCCCCAGCCTCTTCAGGGTGGGGGGAAGCCCCGCCCCCGCCTCCCCCTACTAGCTGGGCGGAAGTTCCCCCCACTCCCCCTCCGCCCACAGGCTGGGGAGAAACCCCTCCTCCCCCTCCCCCTACTGGCTGGGGGGAGGCCCCTGCTTCCCCTCCCCCTCTGCCTCCCCCTACTGGCTGGGCGGAAGCTCCCCCTCCCCCGCCCCCTCCCCCTTCTGGTTGGGGGGAGGCTTCCGCTGCTTTCCCTGCCCCTGGGTGGGGGGATGGAGGGTGGAACGGGGGAGGGGTGAGGGATGGAGGAGGGGACAATGGAGGGAGGGGGGATGGCAGTGGGCAGGCAGGGTGGCAGGCGAAGGAGCAGGGGCATGGGGGTTGGGGAGGGCTTGGCGATGGGCAGGGGCAAGGGGGCGGGGATGGGTATGGGCAGGCGCAGGGGGGTGGAGATGGGTATGGGCAGGATTACAGTGGGTGGCAGGCGGGTTGGGATGGGAATGCGCAGGGGCAGGGGGATGGGTATGGGGAGGAGGAGGAGCATGGGAGCCAGGTGGGGCAGGAGAGGTGGCACAGGAAGCGACCTGCAGCCTCGCACTGGAATCCGCACAGTGGGCATGGGGGTGGGCATGCAGAGAATTGGGGAAATGGGGAGGGTGGGGAGGGGGAGGAGTATGAGATGGTGGGGGAGGTGGTGGGTGTGCTGCACCGAGTGAGCCGTGACTTTGTGGTTTGCCTTAAAGACCATGTGGACGAGGTGGAAGGGGTTGCTGTGGGGGCGAGAGGTGGGGAATGGTTGTGGGGGGAGGAGGAAGGGGAGGAGGAGGAGGAGGAGGAGGAGGAGGAGGAGGAGGAAGAGGAGGAAGAGGAGAGAGAGGAGGACGAGAGTGAGGAAGAGGAGGAAGAGGAAGTGGAAGATGAAGAGGAGGAAGAGGAAGGAGAGGATGGAGGGGAAGAAGAGGTAGAGGGGCAGCACAGGCACAATGTGCTGTCAGCCGTAAATGAGCCAGCAGCCGGTGCAACAGACCCAGCAGGCACAGCAGTGCATGGTGTGAGAAGCTCCAGCACGGCCACATGCAGCGAGCCTGACACCACCCCGTACAGCAGTGTGCGGGGTGGCAGCAGCATGAGGAGTGAGATCATGGGCGTGGGGAGCAGGGAGAGCAGCATGCGGATGCACGAGGGCAAGCAGCACGAGAGCCAGCTCACGCAGCAGGCTCTCCCGTGCCTCCTCCTCCAAGTGAGTGCTTATCCCAATACGCCTGTTTTACTCGTCTAATTAACCTAGTTTTTATGTGAATTTGTGTGCAAACTCCGTCTCAAGTGTGCAACTAGGTTTTACCCTGGTTGGGGGGCTGGAATCTTACCTTGGTTCAGTTGTTTGGGTTGGGAGGCTCATGAAGCTCTCGTAAAAGTGTCTTAACGTTGACGATTGGTTTGGGAACCAACATACTCAACCAGCCTATTGCTGGTATACATTGAAGTTGACCAAGGTTTCAACCAACCAAGGTTTTCCAAGGTGGAGCAATAATGTTGTTCACAGTTTCAACCGAACCGAGTTGACTTTTGAGTCGACTCAAAAGGTGGTATACATTGAAGTTAACCAAGGTTTCATTCAATTCAACCAAGGGTGGCCAAGGTGGAGCAATAATGTTGTACACGGTTTCAACCGAACCCGGACCCCCTTGTTTTCTCAACGTTGTATAGACTCATATTTGAGAGCTTCATTTCTTGCGCTTAACACTTTTATATATACACCTCCCTTGCTCGCTTGAATTGAACCCTCTTAACCCTGTTTCTGCTTGTTCTGCCCCTGCGTTTCTGACCCTCTGTTCCCCGGCAGAGCAAAGATGGGCTTCCTCTGTGTGCCCATGGATGCTCGCCTTCCGCTCGTGAGTGCTGCCGGTGTTAACAGTGTGAGCAAAAGCTAATGATTGTATGAGAAGTGATAAGGATACATACTTGTGAGAAGGAAGGGGGGTGGTTGGGTCCTTGGCAAACACTTTCGGCTTTCCCCTCCCACCAACCACTAGATTCAGTTGAGAGAGATGTTTGGCGGTCCCACTAATCTTGGTCAAGAATGAGCACATGGTAATGTGGGATCCATTTGTCTCCCATTTGTCCTGGAGGCGAGAGGTTGGTGGGGTGGTGATGGGGGAGGGGGTGAGTGCGTGAGCAGGTGAGAGGACGCGGGGGGCGAGGGACGAGGATCTATATGTAACCGCTTGTATCCCCCTTGTTCCCCAGTGACCCCTCTAAACCCCGCCCTCCTTCTTTCCAGTGTTTCATCTCGTTCCCTCCATCCACTCAATGTCGATTACTGTGGCAGCATCAACGCTCAAATTGTTGTCATTGTCCAGGAAGCACCTCATGCTCTTCTCTTCCCCATCCTTCACTTTCTCCGCACTTCCCCTCCTGGCAACAAGGTCGAACTTGCTTCTCAAGCTGCTTCTCTTCGCCCCACTACCCTCACTCTCTTACCCTTTCTCCCTCTCGCCCCCTCCTCTCACCCCCACCAGCATCGACCCCCCTGGCAGCAGGGACGTGGATGATGTGCTCTCCACAGCTCACCTCCCCAACGGCCTCATTCAGGTGGGTCTATTTCAGGTGTTTCTACAGGTGGGTCTATCCCAGGTGTTTCTTCAGGTGGATCTGTTTCATGTGTCTATGTTATGTCGCATTGTAGCTGGTACCGTTGGTGAAACCAACCATTGTTGACCTTGCAGTAAGTTGGTCAGGTCAGTCATTTTATCGTGGATCCAACCAACAACCATATTTGGTTAGCCACACCTAACCGGCACCCAGTTCCATCTTTCCTGTCTGAACCTTGCTTCTCGTGATACAATCAATCACTCCTTGACAGTTGTAGTCAGTTTCCTTCAGGTTAGTCTCTCTCCCACAGGTGTTTTGTCAGGTGGGTGCCTTCCTACTCCACATCCCACAGCACCACTCTGCAAAGTCACCTCTGCAGTTACGCTTCTGCAGTCACCGTTTCACCAAAAAGTGCTGAGCTGGCGCGTATGCTTGCTTTCAATTTCCCGAGCTGCACGCACCAAACTCTCAGGCGGGCGTGCACATAGCGGACGTGGCATTCTTTTTGGGGTCGGGCAGCCTTTGACTCTCAACTCACATGTCACCTCCTTTCCCATGTCCTCGCCTCCTTCCTCACCTGCGTGCACCAAACCCCCGGGTGGGAGTGCACATAGCAGACGTGGCGTTCTTCGTGCAGCCGGGCAGTCTGTTGGATGCAGAGGCACACGTTCTCGTGTGCAGGTGTGGAGGTGATCCACTGCCCGATCACCGGCTACTGCGCCCAGGGCCGCCTGTGCGACGGCAAGCCGGATTGCTGGGGGGAGCAGGGTGTGGAGGACGAGAATCAAGAGTTCTGTAAAGGGTACGTGTGTCTGGACGGGTGGAGGAAGTGTGCGGATGGGTTGCAATGTGTGGAGGCTGGTCAGTGGTGCGATGGCGCTGTGAACTGCTTGGATGGGAGCGATGAAGGGGCGGTTTGTGTTGTGGCTACTCCTCTTCCTCCGCCTCCGCCTGCTGCTGGGAACGGCTCAGGTGGTGGTTCAGGTGCTTCCAACAGCAGCAGCGCCTCGGTGGTCCTGAGCAAGGAGGAGATCGCGAAGCTGAAGAGGCTGGCTCAGGAGAAAAAGGCGGCAGCAGTGGCTGCCAAGAAGCAGAAGATGGAAGCCAAGCGGGCGGCAGAAGAGGAGAAGACGAAGCAGCGGGCGGCAAAGAACGCTGCGATCGAGGCGAAGATCCGAACGAAGGAGGAGAAAAAGGCTGCTGTTGCTGCGAAGAAGGTGGCTGTTGAAGCCAAGAAGAAGCGGCAGGCAGAGAAGGAAGCTGCGATTGCTGAGAAGAAGCGGAAGCAGGCTGAGAAGGCTGCTGCAATCGAGGCTGAGAAGAAAAAGGAAGCTGAGAAGAAGGCAGCTATTGAGGATAAGAAGAAGCAGCAGGCAGAGAAGGAGGCGGCGATTGCTGAGAAGAAGAGGAAGCAGGCTGAGAAGGCTGATGCTATTGAGGCGAAGAAGAAGAAGCAGGCTGAAAAGGCGGCTGCGGTTGCAGCCAAGAACAAGGCAACCACCAAGTAACCACTCAAGATACTGTAGTGCGTGTTGTGTTGTAAATTAGTGGGCTGGTCTTGTTTATTATTGCTTCTTGCATTGCTTGCATTTTTACAAGTTGCTTGTTCGTGTACGTGAATAAAAGCAGATAGCTTTTCATATCAACTGTATAGTAAAGATGCTAGTTGGGGTTAACATGTATATTGGCAAACGCCCGTTTATTGTTTCAATACTCTCTCTCTGAACTCTGTCAGTCAGAGTTGCCTCCAATTTTCAGGCTGAAAATTCAGACAACACTATGTTTTTTAGGCTGAACGTTCAGCGTTACACACAAATTTTAGGCTGATCACTTTAATAGGAATCTTGCCAACACTTCCTGCTGCGCAGCCGCGATTGGTTGGAATTGAACCTGATTACAACATTCCTGTACCAACGCGACTGTGCAGTTCCGCGCTCAGGAAATTTTGGTTTCCCGCCCGTGATTGACGGTGTTAGTGCCACACGCCGCCAGCCTGGCGGAAACCACTGTACCGTATTACCGGTTTCAAAGTGCACACTCGATACAAGGCTGAGGGCTCAGCCTACACTCATAAAATTAGGCTGAAATTTCAGCCTATACATAAAAAAAAAAAAAAACTCTGAAAAAACAAACAAGGTACATAAAGAAATACTTTGAGTTCAGACTAGGTAAAACAAAAAAGCCTGAACGAACTCTGAATCAGACTAAAAAGTCTGATATCTAGGGCCCTGATGTGCCCCTGTTATGACAAAGCACATAGGTACCGGTATAAGCAATATGCAGATTCTCTCATAGTGCTTTATATTGTACCTTGGAACCAGGCATCAAGCAAAGATTCGATGTAAGAGTATTTTTTAGGCAAATTAGGAAATATTTCACAGGATGAACTCTATGTATGTAATAATCGGCCCAACCTTTACCATTTGATGTGTTTGTATGTGTCGTGATCATTTTCATTATCCGCAACACCAGCATGCTTACCCTAATCACACTATGGTAGTATCGCAGATAGTCAGCTGGAGGTGAAACGCCATGCAGAAACAACAGCGACGCGGACTTCCCCCCCCCCCCCCCCCCAAATGAATGAGCAGAAGCGCGCAGAAACGCCCTCCCCGTGGGCAGGGTTGAATAGTGAGCATGAATAGTGCTGAATCAACACCCAGGTGGGCAGACATTTGTATTGCAACTTCAAGCCAGGGTCTCATGTAACCTAAGGAGCCATCAACTGCAAAACACTTGAAGCTAGGTAACCAAGTTAGTGCTGGCGAAGTTGTCTCTGGTTGGATCGGAAATTCGGCTTGCGACACACCCCGTCACTGCTCCAGAAGCAATTGCACAACACTTTTGGGTACTTGAGACTTTCGATGATTTGGGGGCATTTTAGGGCTGGCTCCGAACCAAGTTTCCAAGCCTAGAAGGTTCGGGTACCCCCAACGATTTGTGTTCGCTTCGCACCCCTCGCTTCACCCCACTTCAAACCTTACACCTCGCCAACCAATCACAGCCAAACTTTCACCATCAACTGCAAAACACTTGTAGTACGTGAGACCCTGGCTTTAAGCCGCGGTAACGCCGGCTAGATTAGAAGGGAACTGCGCCACGCGGAAGCAGGAAAAACTACCAACAAATTCTCTTTTGCGCCGACATCATCCATCCATGACATCCCATTCCAACCGAGGCGCTAACTACGGCTAAGTTTGGCACCTAAAGACTGATCTGAAAGCACAGTCCCAGCCTTCCCCGTGCGCCACGCCGCAACGCGCGCCTTGATTGACCTACCCCATCGACTTCTTTTTACGGCGAATAGCTCCCATTAGCGTCACCCACCTGATTCGGTACTACTACCTACCCATGCCTCACATGTCCATAGTAGAATCTACTGCTAATAAGCGAACCAGCTGGCTGTAGCGAAGCAGTGGTCGTTTTCGGTTTCCTAGACTTGATTTACGACCTTACTAGTCGGCTGAACACCCCCTCATATTAGCTCGAAATGCGTCGTCGAGCAGTTCAGCCACGGGCAACGCGCTTCTTTCTTCATCATTCTTGATTCCGAACATTCGCACTACAGTAAGCCCTAATTAAGCACAGTACTACAGCGTTGAGGCGTCATGGCCGCCGCGCGAATTGCAAGACGAACCGCGCCGACGAGGTGCCGCATCGCCAATACCCCAACGGTCCCTGTCCTCCTCCTCCTCTCCCTCGTCGTTTCACAGGCGGGTGGCGTCCCGTCAACCGCGGCATTACCAAGCACCAACCGCGGTCCCGGTCTCACGACTCACACAGAAACTGTTTCCGCGACGGCGCACACACAATCGTCTGCACGTTCTAAGAGTAGCCTCGTTATACGGCTGGTCAGTCACAGAACACCACGCAGAGATATCGGCGGAGTTATTATAGGCGGATTTTCAAGGCGGCATGATGATGGACGTGAATCAGCTATGGAGGTCGAAAAAAGTTATATTTTTGTGAATAGTACTTTAGTGCAAACGATTGCACGTCCGAGTCGAGGTCGCGAGTTGCTGCAGTGCACGGGGGGGAGAACTATGTATCCGGGCGGGGCGGGGTGCGTGGATCGCGCGTTTCTCTGCGAGTGGTGTTTGTGAGTGCTCAGCGAGGTGCAGTGTGGTGTGGTGGGGGATGGGGAGGGCGAGGAGGAGTGCAGCGAGCTGTACAAGGAGGGGTACTGCCAGCGACAAGGCATGGTGAGTGCTATAACTCATGCGCTGTTGTGAGGTAGTGTGAGCGGGTGTGCGCTGGTGCTCAGCGCACGTGCAGTGTGGTATGGTGGATAGTGAGGAGGGCGACGAGGAGTGCAGCGAGCTTTACAAGGACGGGTGCTGTCAGCGGCAAGGGATCGTGAGTGCGGCACCTCTTGCCCTGCTGTGCGTTTGTGTGCACTGTTGATCCCTGCATGTGCTGTGTGGGGAATGCGGAGGGCCCGAGGAGGAGTGCAGCGAGCTGTACAAGCAGGGTACTGCCTGCGGCAAGGGATGGTGAGTGCAGCAAGGTGCGGGTGTATTCGCACTGGTGTGTGCTGGTGTTCTTTGCATGTGCAGAAGAGTGGTATGGTGCAGAATGGGGAGGGCGAGGAGGAGTGCAGCGAGCTGTACAAGGAGGGGTACTGCCAGCGGCAAGGATGGTGAGTGAGTGAACACGCAGTACCTTACTCCTCTGACTCCCCCTGTACCTTCCTCCCTCCCTTTCTCCCTTCCCTTCCCTTCCCTTCCCTTCCCAGATAGAGTGCCCCCTCGACCCCACCTACTGCATATCTGAAACCGACCTCTGTGACAGGGAGGAGCATTGCCTGGGAGGCCCTGCACCTTACTCACTCCTCTTTTTCCCCCTCGCCTGTTGCCTGTCTCCACATGCCATTCCCTTTTCTTCCCAGATGGAGTGTCCTCTCGACCCCACCTACTGCATCGTTGAAACCGACCTCTGTGACGGGGAGGAGCATTGCCTGGGAGGCTGGGACGAGGCCAACTGCCTTCCCCACCCACCGTGACCCCACCTTACCCCTCTTTATCTCTCTTCCTCTCTTCGCTTTCGCCCTCCCCTTCCCAGATGGAGTGTCCTCTCGACCCCACCTACTGCATATCGGAAACTGACTTGTGTGACGGGGAGGAGCATTGCCTGGGAGACTGGCACGAGGCAACCTACTGCCTGAGAACTCATCATCTTGTTCCTCTTACTTCCCCTTTTTCTCCTCCCGTTCGCCCTTCCCTTCCTCCCCTTCCCAGATCGAGTGTCCTTTCGACCCCACCTACTGCATATCGGAAACTGACTTGTGTGACGGGGAGGAGCATTGCCTGGGAGGCTGGGACGAGGCAAGCTGCCTTCGAATTCACCATCCTGTTTCCCCCGTCTCCCCTCCTTTGTCGTCCCAGATCGAGTGCCCCCTCGACCCCACCTACTGCATCTCTGAAACCGATCTGTGTGACGGGGAGGAGCATTGCATGGGAGGCTGGGACGAGGCCAACTGCATGCCCCACCCGTGCCCCCCGGGCTGGCTCAAATGCCCCAAGACTGGTTACTGCACGCCTGCTGGTAACCTGTGTGACGGTGTTACAGACTGCTTCGCCACCCCCGAGCCTGAGGACGAGGACCCGGACCTGTGCCGAGCCTATGCGTGCCCGAAGGGTTGGAGGAAGTGTGCGGATGGGGAGCAGTGTGTGCAGCAGGGGCGGTGGTGCGATGGAGTGGTGGATTGTGCTGGTGAGTGCCCTGGGTTAGTGGGTCACTGGGATGGTGGGGTGCCAGCTTGCTGGCGGGATTGCTGGGCTGCACAACATGGGGAGCACTGCGTGCAGCAGGGGCGGTGGTGCGACGGAGTGGTGGATTGTGCTGGTGAGCGCCCTGGGTTAGTGGGTTACTGGGTTGCTGCATGGGCTGCTGGGCTGTTGAGTTGCTGGGTTGCAGGCTGGGTTACTGGGTGAAGGCTGAGGAGCAATGCGTGCAGCAGGGGCGGTGGTGCGATGGAGTGGTGGATTGTGCTGGTGAGTGGGTTGCTGGCAAGGTGGGACACTGGATAGCTGCGCTGTTGCAGTGCGTGCTGCAGGGTTGCTGGCTGGTTGCTGGATGCTGGATGCAGGGTTGCAGGGTTGCAGGGTTGCAGGGTTGCAGGGATGCAGGGTTGCAGGGTTGCAGGGTTGCAGGGTTGCAGGGTTGCTGGGTTGCAGGGTTGCTGGATGCTGGGTTGCTGGGTGAACGTGCAGTGTGTGCAGCAGGGGCGGTGGTGCGACGGGCTGGTGGATTGTGCTGGTGAGTGCCCTGGTCAGTGCGTTGCTGGGTTGCTGGTTTACTGGGATGCTGCATTGCTGGGTTGATGGGTTGCTGGGTTGATGGGTTGCTGGGTTGATGGCTGGTTTGCTGTGTTGCCGGGCTGCTGGAATTCTGAGTGAAGGGTACCGTGCAATGCCTGCGTGACGGCGGTGGTGCTATCGGCGATATGACTGCGGTGGTGGGAGCCATGGGCCAGTGGGTTTCTGGGATGCTGGCCTATGGGTTGCATGGGAGAATGGTCTTTAAGGTGAATGCTTTTATTCGTTTGTTGGCTGAAATGGGCCCGAACTGTTCTTGTATCGAGTTTTGCTCTTATACTTGGACCTAAACATATCAGTCGTCCACGTACACAATGATTCAGTCACTATTTCTCGCGTGTTGAATTGTCCAACCAGGTCCTCCCTCCCTCCCTTTCACCCAACTTTCCTGTCGTCATGCCCCGTCTCTCTGCTCACCCTGCCACACAGATGGGAGTGACGAAGGAGCTGTGTGTTCGGTGCCAGATCCCAAGAATGCCACCAAAGTAAACAAAGGCACCGGCTCGTCAAGGAGAAGCAGCAGCAGCGGCGGCGGTGGCAGCAGCAGCGGCGACGGTGGCGGCGGCGGCGGCAGCAGTAGCGGAACTGGTGTTGTAACGCTTGCTACGACAAGCTTCATGGAGGCCAGAACAGAAAATCTGTCTGCAAAGGCTAGGTCTATTGTGGAGGCGAAAGCAGAGCGGGCTTTGAAGAAAGCTGCCAAGGAAGCAAGGAGGAGGAAGAAGGCAGAGGTGACAGCGGCTAAGGCAGCCAAGAAGTTTCGGAAAGCCAAAAAAGAAGCTGCTATTAAAGCGAAGGAGGAGAGACTGGCAGTTAAGAAGGCTAAATTGGAGGCCAAGGCCAAGAGAAGAGCTGCCAAAGATGCAAGAAGAAGAAAGAAAGCTGCTAGGAAAGCAGCGATTGAGAGGAGGAAAGCAAAGAAACAAGCTGTGGAAGTTGGACTGAAAAAAGGAGAAATGTTGACAAGGAGAGGGTTGAGATAAAACGGGGACCTTCGAGTGCATTGTCTTGGCTCAAAATATTTTTTCCCATGATGTCTTCAGTAATTCAATCAAACTAAATGAAGGGGAAACGGTGTCTAAGAATTTACACTCATCGCTATATACTTCTGACACATGTTGGTTGTGTCAGTCGCAAAACCTCGTGTCCCTTTCAGCGTGTCAGATGCTTCGCCGCCGATATTGGACTCAATCGGACGGATCAGCGCTGCCGCTCTGCTGCAAGGCGCGGAACTTTCAAGATGAGGCGCTTCGAGATTTCAGTGGGAGGGAGCTCCGCGCCTTCCCCAGCTGGTTCCCCTTTCCAGGCCCACTCCATTCAAGGACAGACCATGTCACCACTCACTACCCAACAGGAACTAACGTTACCGTACGGAACCCTCTGGAACAGTCATTACGATTGTTATTGGGATCTCCTTCCCAGCCAAGTTCGGGGGACCTATATTTTTGTACCAGTGAGAGCTACGTGGATCGGCTTGTAGTTCATTGGGCTTTGCAAGTAGTGGTTTATCGAGCTAAACGAGTAGGTAGCTATTCAGCAGAGTTGATTCGCAGCCAGTAGGAGAACCTCGAGAGTTGCTCCTGATCTTTCTCGCCCACTAGCAAATATCGCGGGACGTGCTCGTATCATGTTTCTGTATCCTCGTTGATGACATTCTCGAAGGTGTCGTTTGCATCTGCTCTCGTCTTGAAGTTAGCTTTTCCCTAGTGTGTTGCTACACACGCTCGTCATGCTCTCGCAAATCTCCCCTAACGCGCAGCCTCCTAGTCGGACCTCACCAGCGTCTAGGACATCTCCCTCGATTAACAGTCCGTCTAAATCGTATTTTTACGACGCAGACGAACCTGCTGTAACTCGTAACTCTGGTTCGCGAAGTGGCCCGCAGCAGCAGCCAATTCGTGGTTACCAGTCCAGTGGCGATCGCGAGTACTATAGTAATACTACTAGCTCCGGTGGCCGACGCGGCACAGAGTTTTTCAACGACAGAACTCAACGGTCACCTCGTTCAGAGAACGTCATGGAGATGAACGACATCGTAGCACACAGGTCGCCTCGTACGGGGAGCGAGACGATGTTTCACGACAGGGCGAATGCTGCGATCAAGGCAGCCGAGGAGACGGAGGAGGCGAGGAAATGGCGCGCAGTGCTTCGAGTGATGGCCGCTGATTATAAGAAGCTCGGGCGATGCCATGGATTGTGAGTGGGCCCAGTTGTCTGCTCGCCATGCATCATGCATGATGCTGATTCTGTAGCCACTGGCGTTTTGGAACCCTTTGAAAACGATTCAAAAAAACGCCAGGACATCGGTAGTACCGTGGTTGCACCTGGCGAGATTGTTGTAGGTTGCATTCGACTACAAATGGCTTCGAGCCTCTTGAGTCGACTCAAAAGTCACCTCATAGGCGGTACAATGGTCACACCCGCCGAGATTGCTGTAGATCGCATTCAGCTACAAATGGCACCGAGAGCCTTCAATATGGTGGACGGTGATAAACGCGGGGTTTCGCAGAATCCCACGTCGAGTGTGTCGCTCAGTGCCGCAATCCGATTTTTCCGCAACGGCGCATTCCCACTAATTTTAATCACATTTTCCACGTGACGCATTCCCCCTTATAATGCGATTCGTTTTCCGCTGTGGTGCGATGCAGGCTTCAGCAGGACTACGAGCGGCGGCGGGTGGAGATGGAGCAGCTGCAGCAGCAGTTGAAGGAGCTTGCTGCGCACAAAGAGGTGAGTGCTTGTCGCACAACGAGGTGAGTCCTTGTCGCACGAGGTGGGTGCTTATCGCGCAACGAGGTGAGAGCTTAGTGCGCAGCGAGCCGTATGTTTATCAGATGAGTGCTTTCCGCTCACCCGCTCTCTCTCTGGTACCTCCCCGCTTGCGCTACCCCCTTCTCCGCCAGTCCCTCTGCGGGGAGATCTCCTCCAATGACGAGGTGACTTAGTCTCCCCTTTTATTCAAAAGTCCCCCCCTGCTCTTTCCCCTTCGCCAGTCCCTCCGCGGGGAGATCTCCTCCAATGATGCGCGGGCGCGGGAGACGGAGGCGCAGCTACGCGCGCAGATGCAAGCGGAGCGATCAGAGTTGGAACGGGGCGCAGCCGTCGCTTCCGCGCGCTCGGCTTCCGACCTCCGCGCGGCTCTCTCCGCGCGAGACGAGGCGTTTTCGCGCGAGCGCGCGGGGCTCGCGCAGCAGCTGGCGGACCTGCGGCGGGAGCTTCAGGCGGAGCGGGAGAAAGAGCGCCCGTGCTTCGAGTGCGCGGAGCGCGCCTGGCGGGACGAGGAGGAGGCGGAGGAGGAAGCGGAGAGGAGGAGGCGCAGCGAGGCGGAAGTTGCGCGCTGGCAGCAGGCGGCGGGACTTGCGGCGGCGGGACTCGTTATAGAAAGCGCCGCTAAAGAGTTCCTCTTAGACCGAGTGGACGATCTGGAGCGATCCGAAGTCGAGATGGAGCAAGAGCGACTCGAGAGCGAGAGGGCGGAGCGGGAGGAAGGGAGGCGGGAAGGGGAAGCGCGCGCTCGCGCGGAAGCCGGAATCCAGCGGGAGCAGATCTTGGCGAAATGGGCGGAGGAGCGGGAAGCGTGGGGGCAGCGCACGGCGGAAAAAGACCAGGAAGTTGCGCTACTGGTGGCGGAGAAGGCGGACGTAGAGATTAGGTTACGGGGCGCGGAAGCGGAGGTGGAGAGAGTTAAAGCGGAGGCGGCGGCGCAGCAGCGCGTGGTGGAGAACCTCACGCGCGACCGCCACATGCTCGCGCGCAAGTCGGAGGATCTTTCCGCGCGCGCGGCGGCGGCGCAGAGGCGCGCGGATGCGGCGGAGGAGGCGGCGGAGGTGGCGGAGACGCAGGCGGAGGACGAGCGCGACCTGGCGGCGTCGCTGCAGCGGGAGCTGCAGATGCTGAAGGCGAAGTTCCTCCACCAGGAGGCGGAGAAGGAGAAACTGTGAGTAGCGGTTAAGAAGTATGTTGGGAGAGGTTGGGCGGGAGAGAGGATGGGCGGGGAAGAGGAGGCGGGGTTCTTGAATCAAGAAGCGTGCAAGGGCGAAACTGTGAGATGGGAGGAGGGGGGAGGGAGGTTGAGAAGGATGAGTGACCAGCTGAGTGTGGTGGAGGAGCAGGATGAGCTGCGCCTTCCCTTTGCTTCCCCCATCCTCTTGGTCCTGCTTTTCATTACGAGCTTTCTGTTACGATCTTTCCGTTTCGCTGCTGCTGCTGCAGGGAGATGGACGTGGCAGAGGCGTGAGACCAGCTGAGTGTGGTGGAGGAGCAGGATGCGATCATTCTCCTCTACTGTTCCCTCAGCCCCTTCACAGCCTCGCTTCATCCCCTTCTCTCCGCAACTCCTCCCTCCCTGGCTGGATCGTCGCAGGGAGATGGATGTGGCAGAGGCGCGCGACCAGCTGAGTGTGGTGGAGGAGCAGGATGCGATAGTGAGGAAGAACCTTCGCAAGGCGGAGGAGGAGGTGAGAGCCCTTAGATTGCGGTGAGACGCGTACGTTTGCTGTTGATACACTGGGTAAATGTTTTTTTCTCTTGGTATAATGCGTCCCAGGACACAATCCACAACCCTCACCCTTCCGTCTCCCATGTTCTCCCTCGTCTCGTCTTCCCACTCCTCCTCCTGTCCACCCCAGCTTGACGTGTTGGTGGATGAGTGTGCGGAGATGAGGCGCATACTGCGGCTGACAGTGCAGGCGTTTGACTACCACAAGGACTCCATTCTGCACCTACCTGGGGTGAGTCGTGCCACCTTCAATATTGTCACCCTCTGTTTAGTCACACTCAGTATGGTCACATCGGAGTCATCATCTCGCATACTGCGGCTGACAGTGCAGGCCTTTGATTACCACAAGGACTCCATCCTGCACCTACCTGGGGTGAGTGGTCACGCTTGGTTTAATCACATGCAGTACTGTCACACTCGTATAATCACACGCAGTATTGTCACACTCGGTATAATCAAACGCAGTTCCGTCACACTTGGTATAATCACGCCGTACCGTCACACTCGGTATGGTGTGGTCACATCAAAGTCATCATCTCGCCTGGTGCGGCTGACAGATAGTGCAGGCGTTTGGCTACCACAAGGAGTCCATTCTGCACCTCCCGGGGGTGAGTGCTGCCGCGTGCAGTATTCTCGCACTTTTAGAACCACATTCAGTACTGTCACACACACTATGGTCCTATCTGAGTCATCACCTCGCCTGCTGCGGCTGACAGTGCAGGCGTTGGAATACCACAAGGACTCCATCCTGCACCTGCCGGGGGTGAGTGGTGCCTGCCGCGCTCACTTATGCTGCATTCTGTTCAGTCACATTTCACTACTAATGCACTCAGAATAGTCACACTGGACTGCATCTGTCAGCTTGTGCGCTGTGGCTGACCTACAACGTGTCGGGACTCACGGGGGCCGTTTGACCACCACAGGGACTCACATTGGAGCTTGTCGTCTTGCCTGCTGCGGCTGATAGCGTAGGTGTGACTCAAGGGGCACTTTCGAGAGAAAGGTCATATTGGAGTTAGTCATCTTTCCTGCTGCAGCTGACATAAGTACCTCACCATGCCCTTCATCCACCTCTCTCAGTCCTATCTTCCCATGCCCTATGCATCACCCATCAGATGAAGAGCCTGTCAGCTGAGCTCGTGACAGCAGTAGCAAAAATATTTGTTCTCAACTCTCTCTCATTTCCTTCTCACTTGCCCCTCTCTTCCCCCATCTCCCCATGTCCCACACACACCACCCATCAGATGAAGAGCCTATCAGATCAGCTTGTGAGAGCAGCAGCAGAGTTTGAGGATGAGGAACAAACAGATGGTTATGACAGCGTGGCAGGAGGCAGCTGAGCGAATGACAGTGCCAGGAACAACTAACTGTGCTTTCAATGAATTTGTTGGGAAGGAACTTGACGTTCGAAATGGATGAAGACTAGACTATATAAAAATAGGAGCAAGTTGAAATAGCTGTTGCGATATTCTGGCTCATGTGGCGTACGAGAAATATGTAAAGATCTGAAGTCGTTATTGCTGAATGTGTTGGAAAGTCACATAGAAGAGTGGATGATAGTGGACTAGGCATGACATTGTAGTTTGTTGTATATTTTACACAATGAGACGGCTTCTACCGAGTCCACTGACAACGAGATGGATAATGGTGGTTTGAGTTGAAGTCTCTGCATTGTGCTTCCTAGATTCCCTAGTTCCCGAATCCTCCTTTCTGGCTCCTACACCTCTCCTCCGGTAATTTCACGGGGTGACATACCCGAGTCGCGTTAACGTTTGCCCGAGAGGGTGTGAAATTTGACAGCAAAAAAGTTCTGATTAATTTCACACACGAGTCGCAAAGCCTGCAGCTGACATGGATAATGTACATCGCACGATCTCAAGGAAATTTATCCAGCCAGTGCCACATCACCACGTCAGGATTGCGTGGGGCTGGGGAACAACCAAAACAGAATCAGGGCGTTGCTAAGTTTTGTTTCGAAGGAATTCGTGTCAGCCTACGAAACGTTGACACTGTTTTTAAGGGAGACTAAGTTCAAAATTTACAGCAGGCCACACGACACGAAGTCAAATTACCGAGTCCTAAACTGACCAAGAATACGCCCCGAATTTTTCAGAAGTTGTGGCTTTCCCATCATCCTCTCGAGTATAAATTGCTTCATTTCTGTGGGTGGGGGTCTAGATGTTCAGGGCTGTCGCTTGCAGGGCGTTTGCCCTGCTGGACCTTGAATTCCAGGGTTGCCCTTGAAAGCTGAAATTGATGGGTTGGAAATATTCTGGCCCTGATTCTTTACAGGGCTGATTTTGGGCTTAGGCCTGGTGTGTAAAACCCTGATTTTGGACCCCGAAGTGACACCGAGGCGCGGTGTGAAATTAAGGGTAGTGAAGATATCGGAGAACAGGTGTAGTAAGAAAAGCCTCATTCAGCAGGGCGAACAGGGCCAATGATTTATATCTTCGCTCAGAAGGGTCGGGTAGTAATTGACGGTATTGACGATGATGGCTGCGGGATGATGGTGGTGGTGATAGACACTCCTAGTTTAGGGAGGAGTCTAGCTTCATTGAGATGTGGTCTTCCTGACAGCTGACAGCACTGAGAACAACATTGAGTAGTACAGTAGCTGAGAGGTTGAGGGCCGTCATGCTCTCATGTTATGTTGCGTGCAATAATTACTTGCATGGCTCCACGTGTTTGTTGTTCGCTTGAAGTAGCTCGGAGGCTTTCGACGGGATAAGCGTCACGGTTTTGTAACTCGGATCACTGTACCGCTGGTGTGCATCACTCGGGGTGCATCACTCTGTCAGCATGACGCTCTAAGTACTCACTCGCTAACGAACCCGAGCTGAATGCATGCGAGAACACTCAGGGTCTTAACGCTGGTGGAGCGATGCATCATGCATCGGAACTCTCGTTGCACCTGAACGCGGGCTGTCTTTGGTATCATTCCTCTTAACCTCGACAGACGGTGTCAGGAATAATAATTTACCCAGCGCAAGAACGCTGAACGATCGTCGGAGTCTGCTAGTCAACTTGATTTGGTTTTGCGATTAAGGTTACCTTACCACAAAGTCTACTGCACACGAGAACGTCACAGCAGAAGCAAGAAAACGCAATGATCAAAATCAGCCGTTTTGTATGACAATCTCAACTCAAAACCCCGTCCTCTCATTTTCGCCCTCCATAGCACCTTCACGTTCCTTGAAACAGCACTCTTACCAACACTTCCGTCCCCAATCACTCACCTTCTTCAGAACAGTGGTGGCGTGTTCCTGAAGCGCCTTGTTGTCTCTCATAGGGCCTGTGTAGTCCTTGGTCATGGATATGAGACCCTTCGCTTCCGGCACAATCTCGAACAAACTGCCAGTGGGGATTGTCACGGGTCAGTATAAGGTCAGGACCAAAGACACACAGATCTGAGCAACTTCAAGCACCAGGGGGGTTGAAACAGTTGTCAACGACGGCTGGAATCGAAACTCCTGGAAAGTCCTGGAAAGGCGCTTACTTGATGAAGAGCGACATGGCGTGGTACGGCACATCGGCCTGGAGCTTCGCCTTAAAGCTGTCTTTGATCAGTTGCACTTGCTCCGTGGGGAGGACGAACTCAGCAGGGCCGAGCGAACCCATGGTTAAGATTGACGAAGTGGCTCAGTGAGTAAGTGGATGAGTGGGTATCAGGCGACTAAGTGCTAAAGTTGCGGATGTGGAATCAGGTCAGCCTCAAGTGTGATGAAACGGCTGAGGGGAGCTAAGGTGATCCCTTGGGATACTGGTTCTGTTAGAGAGAACGGGAACGCTGATCAGGAATAGTGGGTCGTCGACAAGAGCTTGAGAGAGGGTTGAGTTGAGATAAATGTGGATCGGTGACGCCTGAACAAATACCTCGGAGTCTGGTGGTTCCGTGACCTTACGGACACCGCAAGTGACGCCTTTCATCCAAACGCGCGTCGACAAATACGAGGTAGTAGTTGGAGTTTAGCATAGTCATCTAGCCATTCTAAGACCAAGAGGGCCTTCTGATCAAGATCAAGGGTCAACACGCGACCAGAGAAAGGAAGCTTCAACCCATGGTAGTTCCAAGAGTCGCTTCAGATTCACAACCAGATGCGATCATAATCCGCCAGATGCGACCAGCAAGCTCAAGGTGTGCGAGATAGAGTCGAGCCAGCCATTCAAAACACGCGGGTGGCGATGATGCGCTGTCAGGCCAGCGCTTTGCTTGGGAGAGAAGGAACTTGGGCATTGCGACTGTTTCTCTGCGACACTCTCCAGCCAAATAGTGAAGACGTACTTTGCGCGCGTGGAAGGTCGCCAACACACAGCCAGCAGCGGGAAAATTTATGGTGGCCCAAGAATCTGCCCTGCTCCGACGTGGATAACCAAGCCCTAGGAGCCTGTGCATCGCGACTCCGAAAAAACAAGGGAAATGATCAGATTGGGGCCCCAGAGCTCTAGAAAAGTCGCCAACTTGGGGCCTCGTGTGTCGCAAGGAGTCGAACCTGGGCCGGACCTGTGCCCAACCAATTTCTAGCCTCATCCACGCGCTCCGTCAGACCTGACCACACAAGGTGACGAATTCCTCCTTGACGACATCGAAATTTTTGACTCGACATCTAAAAATTGACGAATTTTCCTCTCGTGCGTCATGCCTTCGAAGGGGCCTTAGCCCTAAACATCTTGCCGCACGGTATTTAGGGTTGATGCTTCCCCAATTATATGCCATCCGAATGGGGTTTATTTTTTGTGCCATTGCGATGTTGTTTTTTTGGGTTAGAATGATTGTTTCTCTGGGTAATTTACGATGACGAGTCACTAGCGAATTCCGTCAACCCCAGGCCAGTAGGTGGTGACCTGGCGAGAAGGCCAGGCTCGGCCTAACTGCCCAGGTGTGTTGGTTGCTTCGGGGGTACGTAGTAAGGGGCGCGACTCACGAGGCCCCAATTTGGCCACTTTACTGCTACTCCAGGGCCCCTTTTTGATCGTTTCCCATAAAACAATCCTCACGACCAGACCACACCTGTAGCGACTGACACGTGTCTTGCTCCAGCCTACCTTTGTTAACACCTAGGGAACAGAGACTTTACTATTTCGAGCGGTTCGAACTTTGTTTTTTGGAGGGCGCAAGTCAGCCCGCGCAGTTGCTCGAGAAAGGAGGGCACCGACCGAGGCTCGCAACTGTCAAGGGTCAGATGGGAACCCAGACTCCAAAAAGACGAATATCTGGCCACTATTTTTATTATTGAGTCAGTTAATTATGTAGCACAACAACGTTCAACTGTACAAGACAAAGAGTGCAATCGACTCTTAAAGACACCCTCCTGAACGCGGACACGTAACCTTTCGCAACTTGAGGAGGTAGGTGACACTTGGAGGCACCGTGGGGTAGCATCGTCTCGGAGGCTCCGTGGGGTGGCGACCTCACGGATCACGAAAGGTCAACTGTACACTTCATGACATGCCTCGGGAAGCCCATTAGCGATTGAAAGACAATGCAGCCTGATATATTGATATAATCGTAACCTAACTTTGAATATCTAATCACAAATTCGTTTAATTTCATGCCATGAGGAAGACCATCAGCGATTGAGAATCACAGTGGAATATCTTCACAGAATGCATAAACTAACTTCAAATATTATTAAGAGGTCATCTGTAGGACATGCCTCGGGACGGGAAGCCCACCACCTATTGAAAGGCACAACAAATAGGCTATCTAGATAGAATGCCTCATCTAGAATGCCTTCAGATATTATTGACCTTGCGCTCTCAGTCGTAAACGGGTTTCTCTTGCAGCCCTTCTCTGCTGCTTGTCAGCTGCATTCGATTTGGCAGATTTATTCAGCATGGCCCGAGTGAGGGCCGCTTTTGCCTGCAAAAAAAAGCAATGTACTTTAATATATGTTGAAATGCATGCTGTACATACGAAAATGGAGAGTAGGACGACACACAACGACAGCAGCATGGCACGCTGAATACAAAATACAAAACCGAGCACGAAATAAGGTAGGCACGGTAGGCAGCATTGTGACCCCAAACCCAGTTTCAACGCATCAAACTCACCAGCAGCTGATTCCTTCGCATGGTCGAGCTACCACCTGTATTCGCCTCCCCGCCCAACGACAGTGGCAGGGTGGCACTTATGGAGACGCCGGGCGGCAAAGGACGAGGATTGGAGGAGAAGGAGGAGGAAGTTGCTCCACGAGGAGGTTGTGCTTGGGAGAGAGAGAAGACAACGTCGGTCGGAGAGAAGACCATGCTGGTAGAGTCTGAAGATGAAATGGAATCGCATGGAATGTGGGGGGATAGGGGAAGGCAGTTCCTTGTGCGAGAAAAAGGCAGGAGGGAT